GTGCAAGAAAGGAAAAAACCAAAAAAGTCTCGAACCTCCAAGAACGCAAAGCAAACATAAAATATCGCATGTAGATGCTTTCAAGGAGACTAAGAAATCACTGAGACCGACCAACGAAAATAACAAGCGAACATGACACCTTTTCTTTGCACGATGCGCGCGCGGACACACACATTTGTCGACACCACTCGTCTCCAACTATCCCCAACGTTTGCAGTCGCAACTCATTTGCGCTTTGCAGTCAAAACACAGTAGTAAATACGCCTCAGCCTCGTACTCCTTCGTCCCTCATCCTATATCGTCATAGTCACCCCCCCTCCTCCTTCTTTTTCTCCTCTTCTACCCCACCTTCCCCTTGAGACACGTTGTCATTTCACCCGTTGAGCAGAAAAAAAAAGAGAAAATAGGGCTGCCCTTTTTTCCATCGTCCATTGTCCTTTCCCTCCTCTGCCCTTTCACTACCAATGACAACAAGATCCTGAAACAGGCGCTCCCCTTTTCTCGGTCTGTTGTCGTTTTTGTGCACAGCTTTGCTTACAATACAACGCAAAGCGACCGAGGCAACAACATCAACTAAAAAAACAACGAACAATCCGTTCGGATGTCAGAAACAACGACAACAGCATCAAGCTAGTCCTTTTGCTGTAATGTCCGTTTGGTATAGGATTTCTCTTTGCTGTCCGTGTTCGATATGCTGTGTTTTCCCGCCTGACCAGGTCGACCATTCTCCCTTACGCGCTCTCTGTCTTTTCTTCTTCCATAATATGTCCAATGTTGATATTGTAAAAAGGCATGGATGGAGAGAGGGAGAGAGAAAGAGAAGGGATGGATATTCCATGCCGAAGAGAGAAGGGGAGAATGGAAGGGAGGGGTAATGTTTAGCTCAAGAATAATTACTGGTCAATGGTTGGTTGATCTCTTGGTAAGTCGTCTGCTCTTAGGTATGTCCTGGCCTACGAATAAAGAATGCGCCCACGAGCGAACAGGCCATTGGATATCGTGGTTGCTATTTACAAGGCAGGAGAAGGACAAAGGCAAAATAATAATAATAGCGTGAATGGTAGGGCTCCCCCTTTTCTCATTTTCCGACCCACAGGATCAGAGAAACATAGTGTGATCTATGGAGAAAGAAAGGACGAAGGAAGACGAGCATGGAAGGAGAAGGAGAGGAAGGATCCCAATGTTATTTTGTATACTTGCATCCATCGCGCATAGCGCGCTCCATGGTTCATGGTCTACTGTCTTGTGTGATTGTTGTTTATGCTTATTGAGGAAGAGAGAGGAAAGGATCGGAAGGGAAAGGAAGAAGATCATTCCAAGAGACGGAGTGGGCAGTGTGAGGGCTATTTGGATCTCCCCTGACTTTCCCTGCCGACCTTTTTTTTGCTATTCACCATCTACAAAAATGTTCAATCCCATCAAAAGGGATGAGTGAGGTTACGAGAACAATAAAAGGAAAAAGGCAAGGGGGTTTATGTCAAAAGGAGTGAGTGCGCGTTTTTGTTGCTTGCTGCTGTTCGTTCTGGATCTGATAAAGTCTCGCGGGATGCCAAACCCTTTTTCGTCTCGATTGCAAGAAAGCGGAAAAATAATCGTTGGGTTGGATCCCAAAAAAAAGATGGTTGTTCCCTCTCTTTTTTTATTGCTTTTACGTGTTGAGGGATACTTTTGCGAGAAGGATTTTCTTGGCTGTGTGGCACACACCATTTCAAAAATTGTGCGTTCCCCATTCACTGCCGAATCAAGTCAAAACAATGGTTAGCAGCGACAACGCCTTCTCTTGCTCCTTGCTCCTTTGCTCCTTCTTTCTTGACCCCGCAAAAAGACGCAAGGCCAAGAGAGGGTTATTTTAGGGCGGAGAATTTTTTGGGCTTCCTATCTCTCTCGCGGAGAGTCGATAAAATGGAGGGAAGAGAGACACAACGAGGGAGTGAAAGAGAAAAGGAGGGAATGACCGAGTCTGGCGTTGCTTTCGTGTTTCGTTGGGGGAGAGAAGTGGTCCTGAACCTCATTCTTTTTTTTTCTCATTTTCTCTCAAGAAAAGTGAGAAAAGGAAGGCAAGGAGAGGGTGGCAATTGATATGAAGGTACACGTAGTAGATGCTCAAAGGAGTAAAATAACAACATAAAAGAAAAAACAACCATCCATTCAGGGAGACAAAATGCCAAAAAAAAAGGACACGTTGGTGAATAAAAAATAGGCCGTCCCTTCTCCTGTCCCTGTTTTATTCTTTCAAGAACCACTAGGTCAAGCGCAGGTACCCTTGTCCAACCAACCCACTCCTTTCCTTCCTTCCTTCCAGGTTCGAACTTGGACCCAGAGTCTCGTTCCTCGTTCTTGTTCCCTCTTTTGTTTGTCGACTCAATTTTCTCTATTCCTTGTTTTTCTTTGTTGAATTGAGCGTAAAAGAGCGAAAAAAAAATGTCCAAGGTATGAGCATTGGTTATTGTGTATGTATGCTCATTAGAGGGGGAATGCAAAGCAGCGGCAGCTGTTTAGCTGAAGGAGTAAGAGTACTATTCTTGGTCCAAAGCCCACTTGTCCTTCTTTGCTACTTCCTCCACCACCCCACCACCATTGAATATATTTTTGTTAATAGCGATTGAAAAGAGTAGCAATGTCGCACGAAGAGGGTGGGGGAGTGAGAAGACAAAAAAAAAAAAGAGAGCGACGAGGGTTAGAGTCGAGGGTGTATTATGTCCGTGTATACAATAGGGCTCTTTGAATAGGAAAAAAAAAGAGGGGCCACTGAGAGACGGATACACTCATCAGTTATTGAACTGATTGAATAGAAAAGAAAATTCTTATTTGACTCAGATTCTGATCATTGCCCAGAACACCCAAGAGTGTCTCAAAAAAAGAGGGGTGCTTCTGGTGGTGGTGTCCTGTTTATGCCCATCCCTCTTCTTCCTACTCCACGGACTACATAATTATAACATGGGTATTCTTATGCTTATTGTAATGATGAGTTGCAATCTCCATTGAGTACCATGACTACTCAATTGATCCTTTTATGTAATACCTGAAGTTGAGTCAGCCAGGCAACAACCAGCTCAAATGCGTTGTTTTATTGTTTTTTTTTGTTTTTTTTTGTGCCATGCCTTTCCCCCTTTCTTTTATTTTTTTTGATGTTGACCATGGCCTCGGTCCCATCCCCTTTGGGTTTCCTTCCACTCCTCGATTTGCGTATATATACTCCCCGGAAAACCATCATCAGAACCTTTTTTTTTTCTTCTTCTCTTTTTGTGTTTTTGTTATTTTCTTGGTTCCTTCATCGTCATCATCATTCTTCTCTCTTCTCCTTCTTTCTTTCTTCCTTCATCAGCAACAAACAACCTCTCTGCTTCGTTGATTCTCTCTCTCTCTCTCTTTCTTTCTTTCTTTCTTAAAAAAAAGATCCTTCATCTTCAACAACATACCCCCATTCTTTTCTTTTGAATATACCCCCGAGGACAACAAAGCACTACCCAACTGCTCAGCACAGCATCGCTTTTCCTTCACTCCCCAACACTCTCACTCTACCCCCATTCATTCACGAATACGTCTTGTACTCCATCCTTCCCCATCCTCCCCCTCCACTCCATTTCCCCTTTTCAATTGCAATTGTAGCATTGATATTCTACTCTTCCATCCTCACCCACACTCATACATACACACGCAAGACCATCTCCTCTCCAACCTTCCCCTCTTTCACTCTCTATTTCACCTCCTTTTGTGCTCAACCATTTCCCCTTTTCTCAGTTTGCCACCACTCGACCTGACTCAGACTCAATAAGGTACAGACGCAGCTCATTTCCTTCCTACTAACAAGCGATACTGAGCGACCACAACGGTCCTCTCTCGTCTGCCTTGCACAGCGCAAACTCTCTTCAGTGCCACGTTTTCATCCACCCATCCCGCCCCCATTCACTCACATTACCCCATATACACTTATATACATCCACTCACACCACCTTACACACTTACACACTTACACACTTGCACATACGCCACCGTCTGTTATTTATCCGTCTCTATCCTACTTTGTACACGTTAACTATTCTTTCATGCCTACTAAGAGGAGCAACATGCTTGTTTGTACATTCACACGCACACTATTACCATTTCATATCTCTCCTTCTATCTCCTCGCCCGATACGCCTCCACAGGCGTATGTCTCTCTAATTGACCGTTACTACCCTCCTCTCCACTCCCCCTCCTCTTCTGCCTTTGCTCATTTATGCACCAACAGCAAAATCGTTTTACCGGGGGGGAGGGGGGTGTATGTGTGGCTCGGTGAGGGCAGTTACCGGCTGAAGTCGGGGACAAGAATGGCATCGTCCCAAATACGAACAGAAGTGACGAAAGCAAAGAATAAAGAGGGGGGGGGTCTGGCCCCACTTGGCGACTTCTGGCGCGTCTTTCATGCTTTTATCTGCCCCACCCCGATTCACATAAAGACGACCTGTTTTTCCCGCCCTTCGTTCGCCTTCGCCTTTTCTCGCGTTTCCTTTTTTTCCTCACCCCATTTCCTTACCGTGCGTCTTTCGTTTTGCTTTTCCTCCGACCAAAACCCTTTCCTCCGCTCTCCCCCCTTCCTGCAAAAAAAAAGCAAAAACAATAAGCAAGGTCCTTTCTTTGTTGTCTCCTTACCCACCTGCACATATTGCGTCTCCTTGTCACCCTTTCCCTTGCTGTCTATTATCCAAAAGTGCTCTCCTGCGTTATTGACGTAAAGCTCAAAAACATCCACACGCCTTTCTATCTACGCACACCTCTAACTCTATCGTGCCCATCCTTCCCGCGTCTTCTCTTCTACTCGACACAAAAAAAACGGATCTCTAATGCTTTTTCAAACCACGAAATCACGCTCCTCATTACTCATTCAAACACTTTCTGCCTGCCACCAACCATCCCTCATCTCCTCACCACACGAATTCAACCAACAGCAACCACAGCAGCAGCAGCAATACTCCATATTCAGCAGTAACCACAATAGCAACAACGTCTCTGAAGCTATTATGATGATGTCCTCCGTCGCCTCCGCTCAACAGCTCCAGCAGCTGCAGCAACTGCAACATCAACAACAACAACATCAACAACAACAACAACAACATCAACAACAGGCTGACCTCGGCAAGATGGATCACATGGACCCAACAGCCGTTGCAGCCATCGCGTCCTCGACCGGATCCTGGGCGCCCCGCCATTTTAACGGAGCCGAGCTCGTGCCTATCGGATACGACCAGCCTAGCCCCGAGCAGTTGATCCAACACCAGATGTTGTCCCAGTCCCGCCACCTTGTCCTCCAGAGCATGACCGCCTCCCGCGACACCTCTGCCAACGGTCTCCTTCGCAACTTTGCTGGTATGTGATGTGGTTTATCCCTTCCCTTCTCTTCCCCCTCTTTATTATTTTTATGTTCCCTGGTTCCTTTTTTATTTTATATTTTATATGGCCCTCATAACGCGTTTATTATACCCCGACGCACATGCATACACCACCATGTTCTTCCTCGTTATGTTACGGGCCATTTCCTTTTACCGTGCTACTGTTGGCGCCCTCCTTCCTTACCCTACTATCCTCCTCTTTTTCGATCCATCCAATCCAATCCTTTCCTTTTCCTTTCTCTCCTCCCCCCTTCTTTTCTTCCTCTTGCTCAACTCCAAGAAACATACCAACAACAACACCATCAACACATGCGCGTAAAAAAACGAAGGAGAGAACAAATAGGCAGAGAGAGCGAGGGGGTTTTTTATCAGCTTATTTGTTTATGTTATGTGGAGCGTCCACTTTCGTCATTGTCCTGTGAGTGTGCATGGTATGCATTTGCGATGGTTGGTCCGTTTCCATTTGTTTTTGTGGTGTGCGTGTTTTGTGTTATGTACTCGTGTTCACGAGTGCACGATGCAGTTAAAGTTATGGGCGCGAATGGCTGACAATGCCGCCTAGCCTGTCACATCGTGGTTTAGTTTGTGTTTGTTTCTTCCTTGTTTTTGAGATGGACGACATGAGGTTACCCCGCTCGGCATGCCTGCTTACTGGGAAGGGCAGTAGCATGGTCAAGAACAAGCAGAAGACAGAAGAAAAAAGAGCGACACAGAGGGAAGGCAAGGGCTAGTTGTTGTCCGTTGCCTGCTTAAAATATTTTTTGTCCCGCGGGTCCTTCACGCGGACTTTCACGCGCCCTTTCTCCCTCCCACGCGCATGCTACACCAAACCCATCGATCCAACCCCACCATGGCCCAATCCGATCTGTCCATCTCTCTTTCTCCAACATCAACAACTCCCCTCTTTTCTATTATATCCACCCCTGTCCGCTCGGACAGACTGGGGGCTCGGTCCAAGACAAACAGCTACCCTCGTGAATGAGCTACTCTATTATTCGCCCATCTCTTTTTATTCTTTCGTGATTACAAGAAACGGTTCTTCTGCATACGTTTCTTGCTTTGTGTTCCCTTCTGCGCCTTCTCCCGTGCTATTTCGATTGTTTTGTGAACACGAGGGCCCAGAACGCAACCGGAATGTTGCTTATCCAAAGTGAGCGCCTTCCCTTCCGTGTAGAAAAACACACTCTAAAAAAAAGGGTGGAAATCATCCTCAGAGTCGAACAAAACCAAGGCTGCACAAGGTTGGTTCATGGGAAGAATCACAAGGGCTAATTCCCGGGGCTAAAAAGAAAAGAAGGGGAGGGCAATGAAAACAAAAACACAAAACACAACGCAGGATGGGTAAATGGATGGAGTGAGAGACAAGAGCTTGGGCTGACTAGCCGGTAGGATTGAGAACACGAGTCAGCTCTTTGTCTCTCCTCTCTTGTTTTTTATTGTTCTTGCACCCCCCCTCCGTTCAACATCCATTGTCTCCTTTCTGCCCTTTTTCTTTTTTCTTTTTTTCATTGTCCCCTTGTCCTCCTATCCCGTCTTTTCCCTCCTTTCACTCTTTGTACAACTCCTGGTGAGGAAAAAAAGCAAATATACTAGCGTCTGTTTTTTTTTCAAGGACGTCCATCGGGACTATGAGAGACAGGAGAAGAGAGAGAACCGTTCATTCTTTTGATTTCCGTCAACGCGTCTTTGTCGATGGGTCTGGATGCGACGTAGAGGCATTGAAGCGATGATGAGGAATGAAGTCTTCTCTCCTTTCATTCCTTTCGCCTTTTAGTCGCTTTGCTTCTATCCGTTCATCATTCATTCTTGGCTTCTTTTTTATTGTATTCCCTTACGTGGATGTCCACGCCATGCCATATGCCATATGTCATGCAGGACTCTATTATGGTCTTTTCCGTTCCATTGTCCCAGTTGTCCATGACAGCAATGGTCCTTTGGTTTTCATTTTTGCCATAATATTGTGTCTTCTCGTATTGTCCCCCTGTTATCTCTCTTCTTTTTCATTATCCCTTTCGCATCTGTCCACCTTCTCCATTCAAATTCCCTTTTCATCTCCTCGCTTCATCCTATCTATCTATCTATCTATCCATCCATCGCATGCCTTCATCGTGTATGTTTAAATATTTGTGTATCCATCCGTCGTCCATTGGCCTTTTCCTTTACTCTGGGTCAAAGCAGGCATTCCTGGTCTCCATGGGCTCATCCGCTTTTTTTTTGTGTGTTTGTTCGTCGAATACACTCGATTGAAAAACACCTCTCTCTCTCCTCCTCTCCCTTGCTCTCTCCCTTGTTTTCTCTCATTCTCTTTTTTCTCACTTGGTCTCTCTCTCCCTCTCTGCCCTTGCTTTTCTCTCTTCTTGCTCTTCTTGCCTGTCTTGTTGTTATCTTCCTGCATCTCCTTCGTAACCCCAACCACCGATATCTTGAACCCCTTCCGTTCAAAAGAAAAATGGTCTACACATTCACTCCTTATTTGATTTTGTTGTTCATGTCATGTCATGGTGCGTGGTTTCTGCACCACCTCCATTCTTTCTCTCTTTGTGTCTCTGTGTGTGCGTCTTCCTCCCTCCTTCCTTTTTTCTTCTTCTGCTCTCCTTAGTTTGCACAACCACCCTTTTTCATTGACCTTTTCTAAGCGTGTCTTTTGGAACAATTTTGGCCCTCGCTTCTGTTGTCTATCTCGCATCCTCTTTTTACACACGGACATTGCTTTCCCTCTCAATGCCAGGAAGGGGGTTGGGTTACGACCGAGTCCCTTTTTTCTCATTACCCAATGTTTTCTTTCGTGCATTCATATCTTTCTCCAACTTTGTCTTTACCCATTCTCTTTTTATCTTTGACAAACACTAAATGTTGTTTTAACCTTGTTTTCTCTTCGTACCTTTAAATACTCTTGCTCATCCCCAATTAGACGCCTACAGCATTGCTGGTGCCTTTACTCACCAACAACAACCACAACAACAACCTTCCTCACCAGAACCACAACAGGAGCAACAACTACAAGAATCCTTCTTTCCCCTCTCCTCTGCATCCGTCACATCAACCACGACACCACCAGCAACAACTGCAACTGCAACGGACGCGAACACCACCACAGCCACGACGACGTCAACGACGAGCAACTTTAATAACGCGTCTACCACATGGGAACAACACCAGCAGAACCCCACTTCTTCCTCTTCGGCACCTTCATCTTTGTCTGCATCCACTCCTGCATCTTCTTCCTCTACCTTCCAGTCCTCATCTTCGTCTCCATCACAACCGTTGACCTCGTCTTCATTGAAGGATCTTATCCAAGAGAACGATTCTATGCAAATGCAGCAACAACACAACCACCACCAACAGATCTATCACTCACATTATCAACAACAGCACCACCAACCGCCACACCATCATCACCACCACCACCTCGGCGGCAGCACTACCATGAACGACGACGACCCCTTTGGCGACTACGTTGGCATGAACTCTATGGCACATCATCACCAGCACCAGCACAACCACCACGCCCGCCAGCACATGATGGTCGATCGGTTCTCGCATATGGATGATGGTCTTACCCTCGCCATCTCGACGCCTTCCTCTTCAAGCCCGGACATGAACACCAACAGCAGTGCCAGCATGGGAATCCCAAACCACCACCAGCACCAACTGAGCGTTCATAGAGGTCACCACAACGGCAACGGTTCTGGTAACGCGGCGTCCATCTCCAACCAGGTCTGGTCCCTGGCCGCAGCCCTTCAACAGAATAGCACCCACAACAACCATAACAGCAGCAGCAATGGTACCACCAAGCAGCCCAAGGCGACCAAGACCAAGAAGGCCAGTGCGCGTCCCCCGCGCGCGCTCGAGTGCTTCAATTGCAAGGTCACACAGACCCCACTTTGGCGTCGCACCCTGGATCGCAAACATTCCTTGTGCAATGCCTGTGGTCTGTACTACAAGCAGTACAACGGTCATCGCCCGCTTCATATCCGCCACAAGCCCTCCCTCAGCCAGAACAACAACTCAGCCAATGGAGGAGCGCACCATCAACAGAACCGAGAGCACGCGTCGCCCTATACCCTCGCTCCCTCTGGTAACGCGGCCGCTAATGCGGCAGCGCGCTCAAAGAAAGATTCGTCAGCTTCGTCTCCTAGTTCTTCGTCCCCCGTCATGTCCCCCCGGAGCATCAAGGAGGAGGATGAGGAGCCCGAGGCGGCTGCCTCTTCCCCCGCTCCCGTCGTTCCTGAGAACAGCAACAACCAGGCCGAGGACCATCAGCAGGCTGAGGGTCTTTGCATAGAGACCTCTGCTGAAGAGTCGTCCGCTCAGGACAAGTCTGATGAAGCTGCTACTACCATCTCTGCAAAGCAGGCTCTGTCCTTCTTGGATGTCACGACCGGTCCCCGCGTCAAGAGGAGCAGCAGCAGTGGTAACAGCAAGGGCTCAAAGAACGCGTCCCGCCACCGCCAGACCCGCTCCTTCAACGGTCCCATCCAAACCGACCTCTCGGGTTTCCCTATGAACCAACAGCCCCACTCTGCAGTTGAATGGCAGCAGCAGCATGGCAACATCCACGCCGACATGATGGGCAACCCTCACCAGCAGCATCATCACCACCACCACTTGGCCGGTCAAGACGCCGCTTCGGCTGCAGCTGCCTTTGCCCACTACCACTCGACTGGCTTCTTGCCCGAGGACTTGAACGACTCGCCGCTCCTCATGGGCGATGCTGGCCCCTTCTCGCCCACCAGCACTTTGTCCTCTCCCTTGACTGCTTCGATGATCTCCCCCCTCAGCCACGGTGGCGCCATGGCCGCCTACTCCCTCCCCCCTACCGCACTTGCCGGTATGACCGTCGACGGCCTCGTTGCTTCCTCCAAGGATGAGCTCCTCCACCACCATCACAACCAGCATCAAACCCAACAGGACATGAACGGTAACTCTACCACCGGATCCTCCCAAAAGTCTCTCATCTTTGACGACATGCGGTTCCAAGTCCTGGTCGAGCACATGCGTCCAGGCCAGATGTACAAGTTCCTCAACATCCTCGAGAACCGATGCCACGTCCTCCGTCATCGCCTCAGCATGCCCAACGATTCCTCCGAGTTCGCTGCCACTTCTGCAGGCTTGACACCTCAACAACAACAGCAGCAGATGAACATCCTGCTCGCCCAACAGCAGCACCAACAGTCGATCGTCTCAACCCCAACCACAGAGTGTGGTTTCGGGTCCTTGTCATTGTCTTCACCACCCGTCAAGGAGGACCGTATGGGTTACTCCTGGCCTACTACTTCCTACAACCAGCAGCAGCACTCTCAGATGGTTGCCGCATATAACATGAGCGGATCTGAAGCTGCGACGATGGAGCCTGAATACCACACCTTCCGCCAGCAGCAGGTCTTCCAGCCGGTCGCTGGTCGTGGAGGATCGGAGGATTGTGATGAGCACGATGATGAGGAAACTGCCAACAACAACAACAGCGCGTACTGGCATCACCAGCAGCAGCAGCAATCGTCGATCACCGTCTTTGCTGCCAGCGACTAAACCTCTCAACAACACCCCAACTATATCTTTTTTTTTATTTCATCTATAGACATTCATTCTTTATCAACCAAAAAAACACACACACACACCTACTTTAGTTATAGTATCCTTTTTTACTTTTGTATCAACAGTTCTTCGACCACTACCTTTGCCTATTGGCAACCACCTTATACCTTCTGTCAGTTCACTATTTTGTACAACTCATTTAGAATCCATTAAAAATATTACCTCCAAAGTATTCATTCGCAATTATTAATTGACACCATGGTTATTGAACGAAACGAATTGAATGGAAGCAAAACGGTGCGTGTTTAGTTTTTTTTTTTTTTTGTGTGTGTAGGATGGAAAACAAGAGGGTCTATGTGCGAAAAATGACAAGTGAAGAAGGTGAACAATATGACGAAGAAAGGGGAAGAGGGGAGAGTGAGTGGAGGTTAGGGTATGCATTGAGTCAATGCAAAGAATAAGGTATAATAACGTAATTACAAAAAGGAAGTGTCCAAGTTCCAATGTACGAAGAAAAAAAAAAAAGTGCGCAAACAAAACAATTGGCACGAAAACGCAAGTCAACAACCGACAAACCAATTGTGTCCATAAGCAATGGGTTCTGGCAATGGTCCAAACTACCAATCAAGTGTTTGTCAAGCCCAAGTCGACATAAAAAAACGAGATCGATTTGTTGTTTTTCATAATGGTGATGTCGCTGTTATTTATGCCGCAGTTGTAGCCGTGTGAAGAGCCGTGGTCATGAAGGAGATGGATGCAGAGGTGGCAGGTGCTGTCCTCATCGACTCTTGTTCCTCTGCATGGCGAGGGCTACTTCCACCAATAGCATCAATCTCATCCTCGTCAATGACAATCGACTGGTCCGCGGTGTCCAAATCGTCCTCATGAGCTGCGTCCTCCATCGCCTCCTTCTCATCTATTATGCATATTCCGCGAAGAAAAAAAAACATGGTGTAGGTAAGCATACTCTGTGCTGCTGTGTAAACAACTCAACAATGACCAACAAACAGAAAAAAACAAGTAATACGCCAGCGAACAACGTGGGGTCAACTTACACATATCAAAGGACGAGAGGACTTTGACGCCAGCTGGTTTGGAGGACTGGTCGAGTGCTTGTTTGGCCTCGTACAACATCTGGTCAATGGTGAGACACAATCTCTTAAAGGTCATGTCTGCCTGTCGTTCAGACTCTGTCAATTCGTGGATTATCACCGCAGCCTCGGGGCTTGTAGTGCCATTCATTGTGCTCATCAACGAAGTGTCCTGATCGCCCTTATCCGATGTCATCCAGCTCAAGTCGCCTCCAAATTGTGCTCTAGGTATATTAAGGAGTATGATATAGTCGCAAAACATGTTAAGGGACACATGGTCCAATGGTAAATGTTAATGACAGATAGGAAAAAGCTTAGACAAAAAAAGGGGCTGCATGCCATCATAAACACGAAAACACGACTATCATTGACAACATCGACAACAAAAAAGCAAGTCTCCTTACGATTGCATCCGCATCTTGAGTTCCTGCATTTCCGCTGCTTGTTTACGAATAGTGGCCTCCAAGGTCTGATTGATTTGCAACAGCGACGTATTCGAGATCTCCAGGTCCGCAATCTTGCGTCTCGTCCGTGCAGCTTCCTCCTGTCGTCTGTTTTCTTCTGCCAGCTTACTCGCTGCTGCCACACTTGCTGCTCCTGAAGTTGGTGTTTTGATGGGCGCTGAGCGGATTAGAGTCGACTGTAGGGTATTTTGTGAGGAAGCAACGCCGGGCGATGTTGGTGGCGGTGGGGGTTGAATGGGTGTGGATGAGGTTGGGGAGGTCGACCCGAGTTCATATCCATTAGAGTTCCTGTGAGATGGACTGCTGACCCATGAGAGCGACGAAGACGATGTTGATGAAGACAATGAGGTCGACAATAGTCCTCCACCGTTCGCGGCCGACATCCCGTTCAGAGAGTGTCCCGAAGAAGCAGATATGACGGAGAGCGAGGGTATAGAAATGGAAGAGATGCCTGTTGTTGTTGTCACTCCTGAATTCGTTGAAGGTAAAGGTAACGTTGTTGTGGCTGTAGAAGAGACGGTATTAACTTTGATAGCAGCCCCAGCAGCAATCCGCATCGGTTTAGGAGTAGTGGATACAGTTGACGATGCCGAACCGCGGGTCCTAGTTCCTACTGAAGATCCTGCGGCAGAGACAACTGAAGACGACGATGCGATTCTGGGTCCAGACGAGGAGCGAGTCGGGGCCATGGAGGAGTGTCCAAAGGGGAGGCCGTTGATGTGATGCCCTCCGCCGCCCGAGAACAATTGGATCGGGTCTTCAACAGAGTCCTCGGACACGGTCCCGTCGTCCGAAGAAGTCACCGAGCCCTCCCGTCGTACACTACCACCTCGGCGTCCTGCTGCTGTTTGTGTTGTTGTAACCTTCCCGACCGAGACACCAAATCCTCCTGTTGTTGTTGGTCCTGCTGATGCAGATATCGTGCTATTACTTCCCGTGCCAATACGTCTGACGACACCGACATTACTGCCGCCACCTCCAACAACGCTCCCTCCTTTACTGTTCCTGACGATGGGTGCTGTGGTAGTTGCTGTCATCATATCTCCTCCTCGCGAAGACGAGGGCACAGGACTGCTGCTCTTATTCCTGCCAGTGAGAGAGTTCATAGTAACCACCGAACCGGACGATCGCATCTTGACTGCCGGCCGAGGTCTTGGCGGTTGCTGTTGCTGCATCGTCTGTTGTTGCTGAGGTTGTGAAGGCGAGGCTAGTCGAGTGGGTTTTGTGAGGGGGATGGAGGAGATGTCCATTTGGGCCATGGCGGCTATTTTTGCTCGTCGTGGGGGACCTGCATGGCTGGAGGAGACGCTGGAGATATTGCTGGACCTGGATGAGGGGCGAGCAGTGTTCATTGTATTGACGTCGACTTTCTGAAGTGTATCGTTGTGTGCGTTGTTGTGTGGGCGTACAGGCTGGTTGAGCTGTTTTTGTTGGGCCCTGGTCTGCTTTGGGTGGGTGAAGAATGAAGAGAGGTATGTGGGGGGTAGGATCGTGGGATGAAAGTGGTTGTGCAAGTTGAACAAAGAGGCAAGTAGAGGAAGGAGAGCAAGCCAGTGATTGAAAGAGTACTAAGGAAGCTAGAGGAGTGTAGGGGTATATGGTATGGATGGAAAGTGTAAGTAGTTGATTTAAAGGAGTTGAAGATGATGGAAAGAAAAGACAAAGTAAAAAAAGAAAACCAATGGGGGTCTCTGGTGTATGTGTGAGCGAGTATGTCCACAAGGTAAAAAATAAAAATAATAATATTAGGCACAGGGTGGAATTGCATGGGTCAAGTACACACCCTCTTTCTTTCAACATCCAACCATGTCCCACTCTCGTTCACCCCACACACTCCAACGACAACCGCCCTTCCTTCTTCTTCTCTCTCAACCCCCATCGTATTTTTTTTCTTTCATTCATTTCCCACTTCTTCGCACCCCCTTCCCTTTTCATCCCGATGCGATGCCCAATGCTTCCCTCTCCTTGTGGATGTTCTCGTATCAAAACAAGCAGATCCGTTCTCCCCTCCTCTTCTGTTTGTTTTTTTTCTTTGTCTTTTTCCTTTGTGCGACGTAGACCTGAATATTTTTCGCTGTCTGACCGGCGGAGAGACAGACAAACAGAGAGACAGAGTGTTAGAGACAGATAGGCACAACGGGACTGGGAAGGTCATCTGGTAGAGTTCCCAGTCCATCCTTCCCTTCACCTTTGTCCCATTTTTGTTTTGTTCCTTTCTTCTACGACCGTTTTTTTTATTTGCGATCAACCTTATGTGAGACAGACATGTCATCAGTGATAGTGCCTGGGCGATGGGGATCGACCTTCGTCTTGACACTTTTCTTAAGGGGGAAAGAGACAGGGCACTATTCAACGAACCCATTCTCTTTCTCTCTCTTCTTTTCCTATGTGAAGTCATTCACATCAACAAGGCTATGTAAAATTTGCATGTGGAGTTGGGAGTTCGAGAGAACGAAACTAAACCCGCAGTCGACGGGAAGAATGATAAAAAAGGCGAAAACCAACATACAAAGAGTCAATAATAAACCCTATCACGCATTCAACAAAAACACCTGAAAACATAAGGGAGAGTTAGCGAAGCATGCATAACAACGTCCAAAAAGAAGAAAATCACACACAAAAAGGCGGACCATGGCCCATGGGCAAGGACGGAAGAGCTGAGTATCTTCTTTCCTTGGCACTGCCTTCCTCACCCCAATCGATATTCGACTGTCGGTAATAAAATGAACAAATGCTATTTTTGCTGACAGAGAATGAGAGAGCAAGGGCGAGAACGAACCAATGGGTATGGGTGTGGAAGAGATTGGATGAGCAGAGTAGAGAAATGAAATACACAAAGCGTTCACTGCTCACCTTACGTTGGCTCGTGTCCTCGCATGCCAGCGGGTAGAAAAAACAGCGAAAGAGGACATGGGCCGGGATATATGTTCATGTTTCTTTAACCTGCGCAGACGTGAAGAGTAGAAGATGTACGACTCAAATCTCCACATGCTAATGGGGCCTGTTTTCATTTACGTGAATGCTTTGCAATGTCGGAGGTCCAAGCAAACCCTTTTCTTCCACGCGAACTATGAAGAAAGTGTCTACTGCGTAAAGAAACAATCGGAAAGAAGCAAACAAAATAGGATCGAAAGAAATGGAAATACAAGGAGGAATAGAAGAGGAGAGCCGCGATGATCTTCGTATCGGCTTCTACGGCCTACTACCAAGCCTCCTATGATCCACTATGCCGGGCTTATGTTTCTTGTTGTTAAGCAAGCGGATTGTCCTAAACGTAAGAATCACCTGCGCGACAAACAAAAAGGCACCAAGGACAGAAGGGGTTTCATGAACGAAAAAGAGAACTAACACAAAATGGTGTGCTTGGCCAGATTGTTTTTTTTGTCGATTCACCAAATCGCTTTGGCTCAGGTACGAAAGATTTGATTTGAGCACAAATAGCCAGGAGTGGCTGGCGATCAGATCAGTGATAAGGTTATTGTTGATGGCTTGTCCCAAAAGGGTGCAGACAAGAGAGGGCCATGGTTCAATGACGAATCGAAGAAAGTGTCGACCGGATGTCAAAAATAACGACACGCCAGATATCCTGAATACTTGGAATCTTGTCTCTTGGGCATCATCATGTCATCTAAAACAGGAAGAGGTCACCTCAAGTAATCAAGCCAAGAATCATATTGTGTTTGTTAACTTGGTTCAGATACGCGCGCTCACTCTCCTTCCGTAGAAGCCTGGACTTGTCTCCTTGCCCGGTTGAGAGAAAAACAAGCAGCAGTGTGAGTGCTGCTGCATCCAGTATCTGGTGTAGTTTCATCACGTCATCATCAGCAGCTTTCATTATCTTGGACCCCCTTGAAATGTTCAACCCCACAGGGGTGAGTCAAGGAAGAATTTAAGCATTTGGGCTCTTATGTGGCTGTAGGTGATCATCATCACCATCGCCTTCCCTCCTTTCTCCTCCGTCCACATCTACCTAAATTGCGAGCAAGAAGAAGGGGGTAAGTTAACATATCTCGCAAGAAGATATAATTGACCAGAAGGGTGTAAAAGAGATAGAGTGAGATGAAGAGAAAGAAGGGGTGGTATTTTTACAAGGTTTGCAGGAACAAGGAGCTTCTTTGACTCTTTGCCTGAACGACTAACACAAAAGACAACAAAGGGTGAGAATGCTCTCCCTCTTCCCCTCATACCTTGCCACAATAATCCATATCGAAAATTTCCGGTGTTGTCGTGCTATTGCTATATTGCTCTGTAAACTATGCTTGTTTGTTCGTCTGCCATACTTCATTTTTGCGTGCTACTGCAAAATAAAATGCGCGATGTGTAACAACACCGTAAAACACAAAGAACGATGCATACATAGTGCGGAAATGAAATGGCACTTCTAGACCTATCGCTTATTCGGATGCATTTCGAAGTGATCTTGCCTCATGAGGTCCTTGAGCAATGCCTCCACTCGTTGATACATACAAGCAAAGGGGATTGAACCCTCACGAAGGTCTGGTTATTTTCTGGTATGGTACCGATTGCACGAGTTCAGGATCGAACATGAGCGGAGCACTAGGAAACGAGATACGTCCAAGATGGCGCCGTCCCTTCCCTTCCTTCGCCTTAGTCTGATCGTCCAATGTCTATCTTACTGATGGATCGACAAAAAAATATTCATACAAATAACGCAATGCCAATTGATCCCGATTCATCGTGGTTCTTTGTTTGTGAAATGAAAAGGACGACAACAACGATCATAGATAGCAAACATCCACACATTGGAACATGGCTCTCCTTGCAAAAAATAAACGACGCAGTTTTCCGGAGTGAGCATTATTAAAACTCTTTGCTCATTTCCACGCGGGTTGCCGCGCAACGTAATCTCCGATGGTGTAGGAGACGGAGAACGATAAAGAGGCTTATATTTCGCACCCTTTCTCTCTGATGTGTTTGTCTCTCTGTCTCCGTGAATGGGTATGGTTGAACTGGTGTGTTGTTGTAGCATGAAGTGATGGTGGAATCTTGGTCACTCGATTGTCCCGTAGGTCAATATCAACGAAAGACAGAAGGGCTTGTCCATCGAGTGGCCTTTCTAGCTGACCATTTAACAACATACACTCGTCTCTCACTCCTTTTTCTGTCTCTCTTTCTCTCCCCCCCCTCTCTCTCTCTGTCTCCCTCTGTGTGTGCGCATTGAGTGTGGTCTTCAGATATGCCCTTCCCTGACCTATTCAACATTTCTTGTCCATCGTCCATTGTCCATCGTTCTCTCATTCTCTCTCTGTCTCCTTTTTTCTTTCCGTCAGTCTCTCTCAATCGCGTGCGATGTCTACTCCGTCTATTCATTGGCACCCCCTTTGGTTTCTGTCGTAAATCCTAACAAGCCCTCTCGCTTTTCTCCGCCAAAAAAAACAAGAGACAAACAATAAATGAAAAGAGCCACCGATACTCTCCGAAGTACATCTACACATCCACAAGAACAAAAAACTAACAGAAAGAAGGAAGGGGGATTACTAACAAACATCATGCTGCACAATGATGAGAAAACTAACAGAGAAAAGATGAAGAGCATTCATAGAAACAAAAAAAAATGGACTCTCAGTCCGTTGTGTAAAAAAAGACGGAGAAAGACCGATCGGCCCCATTCTCATTGCTTTTCATTTTACTATTCTCCTACACGAGTACACGATGGATCCGGCCATTGATTAGTGTCACGGCTGTCAAAAGGTCGATCTATCCAATGCTGAACAAACAGAAGTGGAGTCCTCTGCCCTTGTGTCATTGTGTCCTATTTTCCCTCCATCTATTGTCCCCACCTCCTTGTGTACCCTTTCCTCCTCCCCCCCCCCCCTTTGTTGTCGTCCCATTCTCCGTCTCCTGACCTCCGTGCCACTTAGAGAGATAAAAAAATACTTTGAACACGACCTTTTTCTCTCAACCATGAACAAATCAATTGTCTATTCAATTGACCTTTGTCCATGCATGAACGCGAACCACAATAGAAGATTGTCGATTCAAGCAAACAACAAAAATTCAATTTTCGGCTCTTTTGTACAAAACATGTCTTTGTTGTCAACAGGACCTTTACATCTTTCTCAATTGACAGAGCAGACAAATGGCTATGGAGTACTTCATAAAACCCATGCGATCGTCATTACATGCGCTCCAAGGGGGGAATATGTTATTACATGACATCTGGAGCAAGTTGCTCCTGACCATCATTATAAAGCTGATTTGAACTAGACTTTTTTGCGTTCACCGCCATGGACGATGC